AACCTGCAAATGCTTTGATCAACTGCTTTGGAATATAAATTTGGATTTATGTTAGAAAAGTAACTAAACTGTTCACTTTCTTTTTATTTTTAATTTTTTCAATGATTTTTTTATTAATTTATTTTTAGTTTTCAACAATCACTTCCATAAGCCTTTGAGTTTTAAATTTTCTCCCCTTCCCTCATTACCTCCCTCCCCAAGACAGCATGCAATCTGCTATAGGCTCTACATATACATTTCTATTAAACATATTTTCACATCAGTCATGTTGTAAAGAAGAATTAGAACCAATAGGAGGAACTACAAGAAAGAGGAAAAAAAACAAAACAGAAGAAAAAAAAAGAGCAAATAGTGTGCTTCTATCTGCATTCAAACTCCATAGTTCTTTCTCTGGATGTGGATAGCATTTTCCATCATGAGACTTTTAGAGATGTCTTAGATCCTTGCATTGCTGAGAAGAGCTAAGTCCACTGAAGTAGACAACATGGTTGTCTCCTGGTTCTGCTCACTTCACTCAGCATCAGTCCATACAAGTCTTTCCAGGTTTTTTTCTTTTTTTAATTTTTAGGCAATTGGGGTTAAGTGACTTGCCCAGGGTCACACAGCTAGTAAGTGCCAAGTGCTTGGTCTGAGGTCGGATTTGAACTCAGGTCCTCCTGACTTCAGGGTCGGTGCTCTATCCACTGAGCCACATAGCTGCCCCAATAATGACTTCAAACTTTTTTTTCTTTTTGCTTTTTTGGTGAGGCAGTCTGGGTTAAGTGACTTGCCCTAGGTCACACAGCTAGTAAGTGTCAATTGTCTGAGGTCACATTTGAACTCAGGTCTTCCTGACTCCAAGGCTGGAGCTCTATCCACTGTGCCACCTAGCTGCCCCTCCAGGTTTTTCTGAAGTCAGCCTGCTCATCATTTCTTATAATACAATAGTGTTCCATTACATTCATATGCCACATATGTTCAGCCACTCCCCAATTGATGGACATTCCCTCAATTTCCAATTCTTTGCCACCACAGAAAGAGCTGCTATAAATATGTTTGTACATGTGGGTTCTTTTCTCATTTTTATGATCTCTTTGGGATACAGCCCTAGAAGTGTATTGCTGGGTCAAATGGTATGTACATTTTTATAGCCCTTTGGGCATAGTTACAAATTGCTCTCCAAAATGGTTGCATCTAAACTGTTCACTTTCAATCAGTTAATCAACAAGCATTTATTAAGTACCTACTATTTATCAGGAACTATGCTAAGTGCTGGGGATACAAATTCAAAAATTGTCACTACCCTCAAGATGCTTATATTCTGCTGAAGGGAAAAATGTATATATATAAGTATATACAAAGCAATTATAAAATAATTGGGAGGGGCACTAGCATGTAGGTAGTATTCAAGCTGAGTTTTGAAGGATACTAGGGATTCTAAGAGTTAGAGGTAAGGAGTACATTCCATGCAAAGAGAACAGCCAGGACAAATGCACACGTGTGAAGAACAGTAAACAGGTCAATTTGGCTAAACTAAAGTATTTGTGAAAGGGTGTAATATGTAATAAGGCTGGAGATGTAGGCTTGGACAAGTTGTGAAGAGCTTTAAAAGACAAATCAAAGAGTTTATATTTGATCCTAATTACCTAATGGTAATGGGGAGCTACTGGGGAGTGACATAGTCAGACTATTCAGAAACTCACTTTGGCCTCTTCGTGGAGAATAGAATTGAGAAGAGAAAGACTAATTAGGAGGTTATTTATTACATTAATCCAAGAAAGAGCTAATGGGGGCCTAACGTAGGGCAGGAACTATGTGAGTGGAGAGAAGTGGACAGATTTGAAAGATTCTGTAGAATCAGAATGAATATGGCTTAAAAATGTGTTGGTTGAGAAAGAGTGAAGAGTTGAGAATGACACTAATGTTTTGAACCTGGGTGACAAGAAGGATGGTAGTCGACAGATATAGGGAAGTTCAGAAAACAGGTTTAAGGGGGAAGATAATGAGTTGTTTTGGACATGTAGAGTTTTTTGTTGGGTTTTTTTTTGGGGGGGTGGGATGAGGCAATTGGGGTTAAGTGACTTGCCCAGGGTCACAAAGTTTCAAGTGTCTGAGGCCAGATTTGAAAGACATGTGGAGTTTTGAGATGCCCACAGGTCATCCAATTTTAAATGGCCAAAAGGCATTTCCTGATGGAGACTGAACTCAGGAGAAAGACTAGGGCTGGATATACAGATCTGAGAATAATCTGTATAAAGCAACTAATGAAGCCACCAAATGATAAAGTGTAGAGACAGAAGAAAGCCTTGGAGTATATCCAGAGTTAGGGGGTATAACCAATATGAGGGGGTGAGGAATAGAGAGGTAAAAGGGGAAGATCATTCATCTAGAAAAGACAGAAGGAGATGAGACCAATGATACATGAAGAAGGGTGGGCCTTGGTGAGAAGAAAGGTTATTTCCTCATCAGTGACTAGTGTAAAGTAGGAAAGAATAGGGAACGAGTCCAATGGGTTCTGAGATGTAGAAAAAGGAAAAGAGAGCCCACCTTCTGACCTTTTACTATATATGTACCCCAAAGAGTTCACAGAATCAAAGAATTTTAAACTTAAAAGGGACCTTCAGCCACTATTTAGTTAAACCTATACTTGAAAAAGAATCACCACTACAACACATCTGACAAGAAGGGTCAGCTTTTGTCTAAAGGCTTATAGTAAGTAGGAAGAACTAACTTCTACTCCACTTCTGGATAGCTCTAATTATTTAGAAATTTTTCTTTTATTAAAGCCTAAACTGGCCCCTTGCAACTTCTACCCAAAGAAAGAGGGAAGAGTTCCATAAAGCAGCACTTTCTGTGGTAGAAAAAAAGCTAAATTAAACCAAGGATATGGACATAAATTAGGTAATGGCTGAACAAACTATGGAGATCTATGAGTACAATTAAACATTATCATACCAAACATTTTTTTAATCATGGACTCCTATTAATAATGAATCAGTAATGAATCACTGAAGGAATTCAGAGGAACGTAGTAAGAATGTGGTAACAGTGAAAAGAGTATTGGATTTGGAGTTAGAATACCTGATTTTGAGTCTTTGCTATGTTGATTACTTACTGTTTAACATTGGGCAAGTCATTTAACCTCTCTGGGACTCAGTTTACTCATCTGTAAAATGAGAAGGATTAGATGATATCTAAGTCTCTTCCAGCTCTAAATCTATGATCCTATATATGGTACTTGTATAAAATGATACTGAGTGAAATAAGTACAGCCAAAATAAAAATACAAAGTCTATATTAATGCTAACAAAAACAACACTAAAAAATGCTGATTCAGATTAACTTCAATGACCATTTTGGTCTTAGAGAAAGATGATGAAGATTCAATAAAACTAATTACAGAATATATAATCACCCTCTAGGAATCAAAATATCTGATTAACCAGAACTCCTAACATTCTCTGATCATGTCAGGTAACAACTTATTATAGTCAGACATTGGGTATAGAGATCTTCTGTTGAGAAGTTATCAGTGCATACTGGCTATTGTTCTGCAACTTATAATCTTAGAAGGTGGTGTGGAAGTAATGAGAAGGTAAGTAACTTTCCTAGCCAATATGTTTCAAAAGTGAAACTTGAACATGAGGTTTCCTCACTTCCAAGTTCAGTTTTTTATCTACTACACTATGCTGAATTCTTTATAGCACTGAGGTGTTAAACAGAAATGAAACCACATTAAAACAACAACAATAAAAACCAGTTTAAGAAACTTTAAAGTTAAAATGGATACTTACTTTACAACTTTTCAATATTTGGAAAATATCTGCAATAGAGACCATAAAGGGAGACTATTCATTCTAACAACCTACACGTGTGTAAATATTCCAGTCACCACAAATTATAAACTGACGAAATTCTTCTTTAATGAAAGTCATAAAAAGTTCTACAATCCAGTTCTAAAATTAAGGTTTAAGACAAAGAATGTAAGGTAAATGATTTTTTATCACCTATGGGTACAACACACCTTTCCAGTTTCATTAGTTGGTTTATTCAATGTATCTAGTGAGTATGTGGGAATATAATGGTGCCCATTCAATCAAGGCTACTGGTACTATACTAGTACCTCCATAAAGGCAATGCCCCTAAACTCTTTTCTTTCCCCACCCTACAGTAGTGCTCTGTACACAGCAGGCACTGAAAAGTTTGGTAAATTGTCATTGGTATTGATGTTAATGTAAAACAATTCTACCTCCATTTACTAATGTGAAAAAAATACCAGTTTCAAAGCCTGGGGAGAAGTCACAAGTAGGTATCCAATTGTTTGGACCAATGGTGTAAAACTCAAATAGAAACCAATCTCTGCTGCCACATTTTGACTTAGAAAACCACAAATTAATATTATCTACATTGTATTGTATTTTTATTTTATCAAGTGTTTACCAATTATTTGTATTTTAAAAATAAATTTCTTTTACATGTATTTATAATTTGCTCCTCACACTGAACAAAAACATTTTAAAAAAATTTCTTTTAAACCCTTTTCATTAACCTGCAAACAAATTTAACTAGTCCAGCAAGACAAGTTTCTACATTCTAATTACATTTTAATCTGATTTGGTGACACGTCTGGTCTACACAATGTTTTGTTATTTTAGAAAAAAAAACAAACAAACCCACTGTAGGATGGGCTGCTAAATTAGTAGAGGAGATGGGAGAAAGTTGCAGAATACTAGGTACCCACTTCTAGGTCATATAGCATAATTAATTAGTGTTACCTATAGGCACTGTATAACAGAAATAAAGTTGTCTGAGATATCTTCCTGATGCCCTATCTCTGAAGAATGGACACTTTAATATTTGCAGATTTTCACATATATGTAAACACACACATATTTCAGATTTAACAGACTTGCATTTAAGTAATAAATAAGCAATTCTGCCAGGATACACTCTGTTCATTTAGGACCCCAATATAGTTTGTACAGACTTTGATAAAGGTATTTATAAACAAATTTGCTTACCCTGTATAAAGTCATTGTTTGTCAAAGAAAAAGGCAAGTTGGATACATATACAGTGCTTTTACTTGGTGCTAATCCACCACTCATTTCTGTATCAAGAAGGGGAAAGAAAGATATAATCAGTTCAAATATAGCTATCTGTCTTTCTAAGGAAACACAATACACAGCAAGTTTAAGTTTGCAGATCTGGAAGTTTAAAAAAAAAGATTTGAAGCTTGGAATTCAGGAGAATGCTTAGGTTATTATTAGCTACTATAAACAGTTGCAAATCATCAATATTAAAAAGCAAACATTTGCTACAGTTAATGTATTACTCTAATCCAATGGTCTCCAAACTTTTTTGATCGCTCCTCTCTATCAGTAAAAATTTTTTAAAGCATGTACCACCAATAAATGTATATTTACTTATTTATAAATTATAAAGATGTATAACTGTATAATTATGTATATTATAAAGACAAAAAATTAAAAAGTATTTATATAAAGATCAAATAGTTTCTGATCTAAGAGTAAATAGGGAACCACTAGAGTTTACTGAATAAGGGAATGATATGGTCAGACCCATCTTTCAGAAAACCACTTTGGCAGCTATATGGAGGATGGAGTGGAGTGGAGTGGAGAAGGAAAGCAATTTGTAATCTGTTACAATGGTCCAGGGGAGAGATCATACGGACCTGAACTAGGTTGGTAGCTATGTTACCGAAGAAAAGGGGAAAGATGTGAGAAAAATTATAAAAGTAGAAATGATAAGATTTGGAGGCAAGGGAGAGTGAAAAGTCCAGGATGACACCAAAATTTCCTACCTAGATGAATGGATGATAGTATCCTTGATGAAAATAAGAAAGCAGGCAAAGATAATGTAATGAGATTTAATCTCAACCCATCCATACTATTGGATTTTCTGATGTCTAAAAATTTGAGTGTTGGCTGAATCCTCTTACACACTCACCAAACGTTTTTCTCCTGGATGGCCTTACTTAACGATTGTTCAGAGCTATTCTCTGAAGTCTTTGCCACACTAATTAATTACATTTTTAGGGTTTCTCTCTTATCAACTCAACACATTCCAAACCAAACTTATTATATTTCCCCTCAAACCTACCCCTTTCCAAATTTCTTGATTACTGTTAAAGGCATCCTCCCAATCACCCAGGCTTGCAGCCTAGGTGTCATCTGCAGCACCTCACTCTCTCACCCCAAAATCTAATCTGTAGCCAAGGCCTGCTAATTTTATGTTTGCAACATCTTATATACAACCCCTTCTCTCCTCTGACACTGCTACCACTTTGGTGCAGGCCCTCATCACCTCATATATAGACCATTGCAATAGAGTACGAATAAGTTTCCCTACTTCAAGTCTCTCTCCACTCTCCCCAATCTCCATTTAGCTATCACATTAATCTTATTAAAGTACAGATCTAATCTTCCTCACTCACCTTCAGCACTCCAGTGACTGCCTATCATCTCCAGAATCAAATATAAAAATCCTGTCATTCAAAGCCCTTCACAACCTGGCTCCCTCCTAGTCTTTCCAATCTTCTTACTCCTCCCACTCCCCCCACCCCAACTTCCACACCCCCACTCCCTGCCCAGACTCTGTAATCCAGCCATACTAGCTTCCTTGCTGTTCCTCTCACAAGATACTTCATCTCTAGACTCCTCATAATGATAATATTTTCCCTCATCTCCACCTCCTGGCTTCCTTCAAGTCCCAGCTAAAATCCTACCTTCCATAAGAAGCTTTTCCTGATAACCCTCAATGCCAGTGTCCTCCCAATATCAATTATCTCCAATTTATCCTGTATATGGTTTGTTTGTACATAGTTTACATCTTATCTCCCCTATTAGTCTATAAGCTCCTTGAGGACCAGAAATTCTCTAGCAAGATGTGGGAAAATGGAAATGAAATAGTAGGTAGGGTAGTAGGGCAGATGGCAGATGCCTGGGTAGGCTCTGGGTAGGCTTGGGTTTTCTCGTGGATACTAGGTGGGATGTGAAACATGCTCTAGAGATAACCAGACATTATGGGTTAGTTAAATTTGTACTCACCTCCTCACTAATCTAGACAGCAATGCCCCAGAGTAGAATTCCAAAGCTGAGTAGATCAACTCCCTCAATGAACTGAGGCACAATATCTTGAGGTCCAGTCTGGAGGGTGCTATTCCAGGTGGAGAAAAGAGAAGTAAATGCCAAGAGGCCCAGCTAGGACTGGTTTCCTGGTGGATTACTGGTTGGTATGTGGTTCATGGTCTGGGGCCACCTTCATATCCACAGAAGATTGAATGTTGGCTATAAACTGTTCACCATTAGAATGAAGTAATTTGTAGTCCTGCTATGAGTATGTTACTTCCCCTACAATTTGGGGCTCCAGGTATTAAAAAAGGGCCAATACTTTTTGATTTAGGTATGGGCTCCTATGGACTTAGTATGAAGAATGAATTGTTATGTTCATATAAAGGGAGATATCTTGGGAGGAGGGGGAAGGGAGTGTTACTGAGTACTTGTGTCCACTTCAGACTGAGCTCCCAACAAGGACTGGGGAAAACATGATTTTTGAAAGCTTCCAGTTATGTTTTGTATTTAGGATACACGAAGCCAGGTTCATCACAAAGTAGTTATAAAGTACTTGATAATTGTTTGACAGCAAAAGAAAGGAGAAAAGTGGAATAGCAAGCAGTAATAGCAATAGGTTTGAATAACAGATTTGTTGAAAATAGAGGAGCCCAATTTTGTTTTTATGAAGTCTCTTGTCCCACCTTGATACCTGAATAAAATGACAAGTCCTGTTGAAGTTTTCCCGTAGATCATTGTTTTCCCAGGTTACTTTCTGGCATGATTTCATTGTTGTTGGATGACAGATGACTTGTGACTGAAAACTTTCCCTACATGTTGAATTCACAGGATTTCTTTACAGTATAAATTATCTGATGTTGATTAAAGCAGTTGTTCAGATTAAAGGCTTTCCTACATTGATGGCAAAAGATTTTTCTTTAATATGATTTTTTTGATGTTGAGTCAAATAAGATTTTCCCATATTTATATTCATAGGGTCTTCATTTTGTATAATTCAATGATGTTTCTCCTAAGGCTAATTCATGCTAAATCTGAAGAATTTTTCCACATTCATTAAATTTATAGTGGCTTTCTCCAGTATGAAGTCTTTGTGCTTGAGTAAGATTTGAACAGTTAAAGAAAGCTTTCCCACATTCATAATATGCATAGGGTTTCTTTTCAGGAGACTTTCGTGTATAACGTGGAAAGATGAATCAAAGAAGGCTTTTCTACTAATCTATTATGTGGATAGGGGTTTTTCTCCTGTGTATGTAATCTGATATCTTCTGTAGACCACTTCTTCTAATGAAATATATGTTTTATTCAGGGGAAAGATATGAGGTCAAAAAAAGGAATGGAAAAAAAAAAGTAGTTGTTTTATCTTCTATCTAAAACCGGAAGGGAATATATTATCCCAGATTGGTCCACCAGCAAATAATTAAGATTTCTTTTATTCTGATTTACTGCTGGTTCAAAAAAACTCTTCTCAAGTTGAATAGGCTAAGCTGGTGAAAGTAGTTCAGTCCAGATCTCTTACACAACTCTTCAACAAAAGTAGAGAGGAAGAGTATCACATCAAATGGTGATCTGGAAATTCAAGGAGAAACTAGACTGGTTAACTTTTTTTTTAGCCTAGGATTATACAGGAAGACAGCCAGAGGTGCATTTGGGCACTGGAGAGGGGAGGGTCTAACCAGGAAATCTTACACAGCTTCCCAGCCTTGATAGAACCACTACAGGGAGGTAAGACTAGGAATAAGCCAGCAGCTAAATTTATTCAAGCCAAGACCAACAGTGTGTGGACCAGGGTTGGGGCCTATTGGAGCGCCAGACCAGGGATGAGTCTACAGCTGGGTTTCTCTGCAGTAATTAGATTAGGGTGAGTGGTGTGTGGTATAGTTGTGTATCAAGGCAGTGAGCAAGGGCTGCAGTTGTGTCTGATCTCAGAGCACCTTTTAGCCTGTACATTAGCGGTGTACCAGGCCAGAGAACTTGGACTAGGGGCAAGCCTTCATGTCTATTGCTCTGATCTGGTGGAGCTTTCTAGTCAACTGGCTGATGCTGAGGCTCAGTACTATCTACTATAGGAGTGACTAAGGTTAAACTTGCAATTGTGTTGCACAGACCTAGAACCAAGTCAGAAACCTGAAAAGCCCAGACCAAGAAGACCACAATCAGACAGATCATACCTCAGATTAGACTGCTTAGGGAAGTCATCTGACTCTCAACCAAATCATTCAACTGAAAACTGCTTTCTTTAAAGTTAAAAAACAATCTCTTAAATGCTAAATCTAAGGGCATTTTTTCAATCCCTATCCTTTTTTTTTTTTTCCGTTAGGCAATGGGGTTAAGTGACTTGCCCAGGGTCACACAGCTAGTAAGTGTTATATGTCTGAGACTGGATTTGAACTCAGGTTCTCCTGAATCCAGGGCCAGTGCACTATCCACTGCGCCCCCTAGCTGCCCTGATCCCTATCCTTCTTGACCTCTCTATAGCCTTTGCACTGTACTATCACCCTCTTCTCCCTGATATCCTCTTTTTTCTTTCATGATAGTATTCTTTCCTGGTTCTCTCACTATCTATCTGACTATGCTCAGTCTCCTTTGTTGGATCTTCATTGAGGTCACATACTCATGGGTGTCCCCTCAAAGGCTCAATCCTGGCTTCTTCCATACTGTTTTGCTTGGTGATCTCATCACTTTTATGGATTCAATTATCATTGCTATGCTGATGATTCTCACATCTATTTATCTAGTCCTAAACTCTCTTGTGACCTCCAGTTCCACATATCTAACTGCTTATTGGACATTTCACACTAGATAGTCTGTAGACATTTTAAACTCAACATGTCAATAACTAAACTCATTATCTTTTCCCCAAAACTCACCCTTCTTTCTAATTTCTCTATTACTGTTAGGAGTACCACCATCAGTCCCACAGGCTCACATTCCAGGTGTTCTCCTCAACTCCTCACTCTCTAACTTCCCAATGTCTAAGCTGTTGCCAAGTCCTATCAATTCTATCTTTGTAACATCTCTTGTATGTGGCCCCCCCTGATACTGCTACCATCTGGTGTAGGCCCTCATCTTATGCCTAGACCAGAGGTGGGGAACCTGCGGCCTCGAAGACATATGTGGTCCTCTAGGTCCTTAAGTGTGGCCCCTTGACTGAATCCAAACAAAGTTTATTAGAATATGGATCAGGGGTGGGTAAGATTTAAAGATTTAAAGAATCCACCATATTGGCAAGACTAAGCTTTGGCTAGATTATAAGAATCTGAGCACCTTAATGGAGGCCAGATGGACCTTATAAGACTGTGGAAGGGATCTAGGAGTGGCCAAGTAGCCTGGGGTGACTGGAGGAAGGGTCTAAGGAGGATCTGGATGGGATTGGCCAGTAAGCTGGGGGGACTGTGAGGGACCTGGACCTCATAGCCAAGGGAGAATGAAGCCTAGATAGGATTAAGGGTGGGAAGTGGCTGGGGGCCACAGGGAGGTAAGACAATGGAGGACTAGGAACAGAGAAATGGCAGATTGGGTATAGGCCACATTGAAAGGCCAGTTGATAGGATTATAGCCTCTGGCAAACACCAGAGGCCATGTGGGAAAGTTCAGGGTTTTTACTTTTTGGGGTCCAGATCCCAAAGACATGGTCTTTCCTTTTAGAGGTTCGGATCCCATCCCCATCATTCCCCTCTCAAACAAATGGGACCCAAATTCTTTTGGAATAAGGGGTGAAGGTCTTGGCTTCTGAAAATGCTTCCTGCTGGCAAGGGGCATAGAGCTGTCCCTGCCTTGAGGGGGTCCCAAAGAGAAAGTTGACTGGAACCGAGCACAGGCCACATCCAGGGGACGATGAGGGGACATTGGTTGGTGCCTGCTATTTGCTACCAACTGTAGGTGAATGGCCTAGAGTCCAAGTTCAGAGGCTGGCTGGCTTCTTTACTTTGACTCACTCCCCTTCTCTCTCTCCCCACGGCTGCTGGGGGTTGAGGTGGGGGTGGGGTGAGCAGGATGTGCTGAACCTGGGTGATGCTTCCAGGCAAAAGTTGCCCCAGTACCCAACACCATTGCCAGTGGGGCCCATGCTGTAACTGCTGTCCTTTCCCCCTCTTTCATTTTGTCAGGTGGGGGGGAGGAATTAGAAGGTGAGGGGGGAAGGGTGAAACTCTCTTCTCCTATGAGAAAGGTTAACAAAGATACCCTCTTGACTCAAGGGAAGGGAGTGGGAGAAGGGAGTGACCAGGGTTGTAAGGAGGTATTTCAAAACACCTTAATGATCAATCACAAAACCTCCAGAATCTGCTAAGATGTTTTTTAGCTGTTCTAACTTTTTCCATAGCCTCCTTTAAGAAGGATCCAGGGGTGTAGAGGTAAGAGATTAAGTAAGCCTCAGGGAACCAAAAAGAACCTGCAGCTTTCCTAATTCCCTAGCACTGAGAGAATTGACAGAATTGGGCATACGCTTCCAGATAAGGCATCCTTCTTTGTCCTCTATGCTGCTGAAGGTGTACCCAGGTCCATGGCCTCAAACTGAACCAGTGGACCGAGAGCCTGAGAGTGTCAGGCCAAGTGTGAGACAGCCTCATAACTGTCTGCTCAAAAAGCCTTCGTAGGTGCTTGAAGAGCAACCCCCAACTGCAGAAAAAGAAAGCGGGTGGGGGGGGGGAAGAGAGGAGGCTTACATATCTTCTAGTCTTGGCTGGAGAAAAGTTTGGGGTTAGCCACCTTTCCTGTACGGGCCACCAAAATGTTGAGGCTTAGGGGTGCTGGGACCCCAAAATCACGACACATGAGTCCTGTCTGAATGAATTCGACCCAAGCCTTCTTTCAGCCAAAGACAAGGTTTATTAGAACATTGATCAGGGGTGGGTGAGATTTAAAGAATCTGCCATATTGGCCAGACTCTTAAGGAATTTAAACATTTAAGGAATTTAAGGAATTAAGCATTTGTATCACTAATGCAAGTGGGCCAGAACTTGAGAATCAGAGCCTTGGCTAGATTATAAGAATCTGAGCCTCATCATTTCTTATAGCACAATAGTATTCCATTACATTCATATACCACAACTTGTTTGGCCATTCCCCAATTTGATGGGCATCCCC